CATTTTTTTATTAAGATATATTTGAATAATTACAAGGAGGCCCTTAGGTGGGCAAGAATTTACAAAGAACTTAATATAGACAGGATGGGCCCAGAATAAGGCCCATTACAGAAAATAAACATAAATAACAAGAAAGAATAAACAACCTATGGGCCATTCGGCCCATCTTCTCTACAAAAACAAAAGTTAAAATAACAAGTAACTGACATATATAAAGAAGAGAAGATGGCTAAACACCAAAAGGGAGACAAAGAGAAATGTAACCATTGCAGTCTCTTAATTTTTTCCTATTTGATTTATGAAGTTCTTTACTATGGTTTTTTGAGCCTTAAATGTACAATTATATTACTTCTAAGTTCTAATGTCATTGGATCCATGAAAGACATTACTAAAATTTGCATGGTCAGTTGACACTGGGAACTTAAAAGTATATTTCCTATGCTGGATAAAGGGCAGCCTAGTGCACAAGGCTCCTGCTAATGCAGGGCCTGGAGAGGGATAGATGCATGCAGCCTTACCTCTGTACATATAGGGAGGCTGTTTCCAAGATTTGAACCCTGCCCAGGTCAAAATGGAGCAAACCAACTGTTGCACCAAGGCCCACCCTCATATTTCCTATGCTAGATATGTCATATGTAGAAAATGTTAACTCATCAATAAAGATTGAATAGTTTAAACTTGGACGCATGCAATAAAGATTCAATAGAAAGGAACAGGACTTAGCCCATAAAACACAGTGCCAAGAATTCAGATCAGGTGAAGACAATGTAAAGCATTCTCTTCATTTTACTTCAGTGAAACCTGCTGATGCAGTTATTGTTAATTTCTTATACATCAGTTTATGCTCATACAAGAAAATAGGAACTGTTTCATACTTGTTTTCTCTATATATAACATACCTTTCTATAACAATATCCACTTCTGCTTTGCTCTTGGGACCATACATGAGAACTCTAGTAAGGTTTAGTATGTCCCGATAATCACCCAGTTCACATGCTTCATCAAAAGCCTGAGAGGGTAAGTTGTCCTTAGGTATTGAAGATAGACATTGTGTTGCAATTAATGATTCCGACCTCTCAGAAGCAAGCTGTCCCTCCATATCAAGCTTGAGACAGGTGATAGCCATTGCATAAGCAACCCCTCCAAACCCAGTATGTGATACAAAAAGATAGCAACCAGCAGAACTGCAGTTTCAAGGAATCACTTCTGAATAAGAGAAGCACAAATGCAACCAATAGATATAGATAGCTATAAATTTTATCTGGTCATTAAAACGTGTTTCGTCTCTTGGATGGATCACAGTGTGTCAGACAACTTTAATATTTTCAAAAAAAAAAAAAAATTACATGCATGAATGTTGGACCACTGTGTATGTCATAATTGTCAAATTAGTGTATTTTTTTTTGAATAAAGGTCTATATAAGATCTCTCCAACAAAACATTCCATTATGATCTTTCATGCATGTATTTGTGTAAACATGGGCTTCTAACCACATTTTTTTCAAAGTTAAATACTCAAACCAATAATTAATGAGGTGCATTTGCAGTAACACATGGGCTAGGAATTTGAGACATACTCATCTTTAAGGCATTGAATTGCATCAACATCAGAAGCCAAGGCCTCTCTTTCTCTAGTCAATGGTATCCTCCTGTAGTCAAGAATGTAACCCTCATCTTTCAGAGAGGCAAAAACTTCGGCAGGTGTTTTCACATCCTCTAGCAAAACATTCTCCCAGTACCCTATGACACTGGACTGATTTAATTCCGGACAATATTCTTCACGATGTAAAAGCATTTGACCACCAGAATGTGAGATCTCAGCTAAAATATCCTCCTTTAACCGGGCCTCCATATGTTCCACCTGCGGGGTTGTTGAAGTCAAAACAGAGAAACTGAAGCAATGAACTTGGCTTTTTAAATTATTCTTAAAGGAAACAAAGTTGCAACAGTGCACCCACCAATGGTCCAGTTATCCCAACATGTTTTAGTGTATCAACAGGCTGATTTAGTTCCCTAAGGACAAATGGTGTGCCATTGATGTAAACAACTGCTTCTTCTCTCAGATCAGTCACAATGACTTTTGGGGCAATGTTTCCTCCCATGGTAGACCTGGCACCCAAAAATGACAACATTTCTCTAGCTCCAGTAATTGTTGGAGTTGCCATGCTGTATACAGGGTACCCATCCACCTGTATGATGAGAATCAGAGGTTAATTGGCATAGCATTTATTGGAATGGTTCCTTTTCATCATAGAAGACATTCTATTCTGAGGTGAATCTCATTAATAAGGAAATTGAAAAAAGCATGCCAATTTTCACAAGGACAAGAAAACATGTAATAGAACAGAATCCATTCTGAAGCCCCATAGGTGTAAAAATCATCTTTCTGTAACTACAATAATCATCCTTGGACTTGGAGTCCCATGATTTGGTGTGTAAGCTTGATATAGAGAAAGCATACGACCAAGTGGAGTGGGGATTCTTGGAAGCAGTCCAAAGTATGATTGGAAAAATGGAGTGGTTGGATGTTTGGGTGCATTTCCTCAGTCTCCTCAGTTATTCTTAAGGGAGTGATTTCAGAATTCTTCCAAAGTAACTAGGGGGCTGAGACAGGGGAACCACATCTCTCCTTTGTTGTTTGTTCGGGTTATGGAGGTGCTGAATCTGCTGTTAAATAAAGGCGTTCAGCAGGGTTGGTATTAAGGTTTTAAGGTAGGGGCAGAGGACCCTTACATCTCCCATCTACAATATGCCAATGACACATTCATCTTCTTAGATGCAGATGTGGATCAGGTGCTGAACTTAAGAGCAATTATGGTCATTTTGAGCTGTTGACAGGGCTGAAAGTGAACTTAGAGAAAAGTCTGTTAATTGGAGTAGGGGAAATCAGTCCAGAAGAAATGAGGCAATTTGCAGTAGCCTTGAATTGTCAGATTGGGGACTTGCCTTTTATGTATTTGGGCCTCCTGGTTGGGACTAAATCAGCCTCAATTAGTACTTGGAAACCACTTATAGGAAGAGTAGAGGCAAGGCTGGCAAGATGGAAGGCTAAATATCTCTCATTGAGTGGTAGGATTACACTAGTTAATAGTGTACTATCGAGCCTACCCACCTATTACCTATCCTTGCTGAAAATACCAGCTGATATGGCCAACAAAATAGAGAAGTTGCAGAGGGATTTTCTTTGGGGAGGGGCAAGGGAGACGAAGAAGTTTCACCTAGTAAAGTGGGCAAAAGTTTGCAGACCGAAAGAGTTTGGGGGTTGGGGTTTAGGAGAGTAAAAGTGTTCAACAAAGCCCTCTTGGGCAAATGGTTGTGGAGGTTTGGGTTGAAGAAGGAAAAGGAGTCTTTATGGAGAAGGGTGGTATCAGGGAAGTATGGAGTGGTTAGGTTTGGTTTGGATCCGAGAGAGGTGGCAAGTTCCTATGGGGTTTGTGTTTGGAAAGGTATTATAAGTTTCGTCAGGAGCTCAGGGGTTTGGTGAGTTTTAGGGTGGGGCATGGGGCTAGAGTAAGGTTCTGGGAAGATGATTGGTGCGGATTTGGGAAGTTGTGTGAGCTTTGTCTGAGGCTTTACAGGCTGACTGAACAACAGGTGGAGATTGCGCATTGCTATGAGACTAGAGGAGATCAGCTGGTATGGTGTCCTAAATTCAGAAGACCTCTGCTGGATCAAGAGGTGGAGGAGTTCATCTTATTGTTAGATAAACTAGAACAGTCCAGATTATCTACATCATCCAGTGATGGTTTGAAGTGGAAGGAATGTAGGGATGGAAAGTTCTCGGTGAAGTCTTTCTATTTGGATCTGATCAAAGAGAATTTGACTATGGACCAAGTAAAAGGAGTGTAGGGGGAACCCTATTCCACCAAAAGTGGAGGCCTTTGCCTGGCTGGTTGCCTTAGACAGCATTCTAACAGACCATTTAAAGTGTAGAGGTTTCTCTATGGAGGGTTATTTCTACCTCTGTACTAAGGATGACGAATCTGTCTGGCAGTGGCACCTGTTCTGTTCGTGTGAAGTGGCTAATTTCATTTGGCAATACTACTCTTTCCTGTTTGGTGTGCCAGAGTTTCATCCTTACCAGCAGAAATATTTTCCTTCTGGCCAAAACTTAGAGGAAGTAACAAAGCAAGAATGGTCTGGAGCTGATCCCTTTTGCTCTGTGCTGGACAATATGGAAGGAAAGGAATAGGAGGCTGTTCGAAGACAAATCTGAAGGCATCGAAGTTTTGGTGGCCTCAGTAGGAAAGCTGGTTTCAAGCTGGGTTTTGATCATCCCAGATTTTGAGCAAGTTAACAGTGCAGATTTGGTGGACAACTTTTGGGAAATTCTTGAGATTCAACCTTGTAATGTAAACATGTTTCTTAGTGGTTAATGGTGTGGTGTGTCATCTTGACACCCAATCAGATTGTACGTCTCTTTTTTATTTTAATAAATTTCTTCTTTACTCCTCAAAAAAAAAAAAAATGAACTCACCCTCATACTCCCCCCACATAAGGTTCCCCCCCATCCAAGTGATTCTTAGTGATAGATTCATTAATAAGGTTGCCATTAACCAATAGGGAGAAGATGAAATACCAGATGCAGATTTCTCACTAGGAGATGCCTATTCAACAAGGTAAAAGATCCACCTGCGAACTTGAAATTCTTCATCTTTCTTCTTTTCCTCTAGCATTAGTGCATTACTAGATAGTACTTTAGCCTTTTCAGTTGTTCTTCATTAATGATAAATATTTTCCAAATAATCAAACAGAAAATGAAAGAATCGTGTCAACAAAAATGCAACTGATACACTTAGTATAGCAGACTGTCTAATGTAGCTCAACTGATCTCTGCTCGATGAATGCTCTGCAACACCCCAGGGGTAGCAAAGTTTCAATTTATTAAATAGTAGAATCATTGTCTATTCTGTTCTTTACATTTTTTATCAACATGTAATCATGCAACAACACAAATATACCTTGTAAACATGTGGTGCACCATGGATTTGAATGTGGTTGGAAGTTCTTTGACCAGGAAAGAAGTACATCTTTAGTATGGAACCTTTTCCAAGAATAGAGCCACTACGAGCCTTGACTAAAGCTTCCATCACTGCATCACCATGTTGGGATTCACGTGGAACTCTCAACTCTTCCTGGTAAAACATAACCAAATCAGTCATGCCATACCAAATGGCATCTTATTTCATGATTCATATGCTTTTAAAGTCATAAAGCAGAAAGAAAACTTACAGGTACTGTGAAAAATCTCCCTGGCCTTAATCTTATGCTCCATTTCATTGCTTGAACCTCTGGTCTCTGATTTAACCAAACCTTGAATGTCGTCTTAGAGTCTCCTTGTCCACAGAAACCATCAAATGCTTCACTTCCAAGATATGCTGCAAAGGCAATCAACCTGAAGTAGCGCTCCAAGTACTCAGCACCACGATTTAATGCAACCCTCCTTACCCTTGGTTCGACGTGTTGTTGATTGAATACCTTCCTGTACCGCAAAACAGCTTCACGTATGTTCTGCAGAGCGGAACATCTATCAATTATGGCATCCAAGACCTCACGGCATTCCACTCCATTATCGAATAATCTTGTTATCTTCCGTAATAATGGAATGTCGTTTATGCCAAATGCCCGATTTGGCTCCTTTTCCTTTCTTGCTTTTTCCGAGTATGATATAGATACAGTACCATTTCCAGCTTCTTCACCACCCGAGGAACCACTGTCAACATCTTCAGAAGACATACTTTCAAGATGCATTCTAATAGGTCTCCCGTAATCAATACGAAGTCTCAGAAGGCATGCAATCACGGTACCTGTGGTTGTCCGCCCTCTACCCATCTAAAAGTAACTAATAATTAGAGGAAAAATTCTTTCACTTGGATCTACCAGTCTAGAAAAGTTCTTTAACATATTCATACATTTATGCATCATAACCACATTCGACAAATTTAATGAGAAAACTTACCTGACAATTGAACACAAAAGCAGTATCCTTGGAAGCAGAAGCAATATTCATTGCTAATGTGTCAAAGCCAGAACTTTTGGGAGCTTTACCATCAGTAATTGGCACACGTGCATACTTAATTGGGAGACCAGAAGCTTCTAAGCATCTATAAACCTCCACTGGGGTCTGAACTGCTTGAGAATTCACATGTTCCCAAGCATCAAATATTTGTCCATCATTTGTTTCATGTATTACCATTATAGCACCTCCATAGCGCTCAGCCTCCCGAAGAATATCTTCTTTCAGTCGAGCTTCCATCCTCTCCACTCTCTCACGATCTATTCCCTGAAATGCCTTATCTCAGTGCATCAACTAAAAATTTTCTGTTAAAAGAGAAATATGTGGTTTCAAAACTTGGTCACATATATGAGTAAGGAAAGTTCCTTCTTCATTACCAAGCATTAAACTGCCATTGTAGCCATGTATCATGATCTTCACCCAGATGCAACATCTATGTAATAAAGAGAATCCAGTTTCCTCCAGGAACAGTGTTGTTGAACACATGTTGCCAGGACTTCTAGGTAAATGGTTTTCCTTGTATGGACACGAGTATCTCTGTAGTAGTTGTCTAGTTCCTTTTGTTTGCATACATTTTTTATATAACTAGTATTCATCTAATAACAATTTGGATATATTGGTGTAACCAGGGATGTGCAGCCACAAGTATAAGCTTGTCTATGCATTAATTGCATAGAATTAACATGAACTAAAATTTGGAGAGGTGGAATTTTACCGTGTACTCCAACATATTCTTGTATGGCCTTTCCACCTCACGTAGCACAAACGGTTTTCCATTGATGTAGACAACAGGCTCTTCTCTCATATTGTGCCAAAAAACTGGGCGACCACCCTTAGAGCTACCTATCCTCTGAATAACAGCTTGTATACCATCAATTGTTGGGTTGGCAACACCATAAACAGGAAACCCAGGAACTTCTCTGAAATTAGGTGCACCTTCCACCCTCTCTGGTAAACTTAAATTTTGACAACCAGGACAATGGTCACTTTTTAAAACAGTTTGACTCCCAAGAACCTCCCCATTCCTAAGGGCAGCAACCACACCCATCTCACAAGGACGACCATCAGCAGATTCAGCAATTTTCATCAAAGATGGTTTCAAGCTTGCATATCCAAGTGCACCCATTGGATTTCTTCTCAGTAACCTGGAAACAGAAACAGTATCAATATCATAAAAACCAAAGCACATTGGAGCCCAAAAATGAATGACAATGATGCAGAATATTCTATGAAACAGGTGACTCATCATATGACATAAAAAGATATTTGGATGAACTAGAAATTGCTCTCTAAGCATTGATAATGTCTTTGGTTCCTTTACAAACTGATCATTTCCAAATTAGTATTAAACATTGACAAATCCCTATGAGGTTTGGTCCCCAGTCAGAGAATGCATATTTATCATGATATGTCTTTTATCATAGAAATATGAACCCAGATTTCTTTGATTAACTTTTCAGATCGTCATCCTCTTCTGATTCCATCCTCGATCACTTTTCTTCCTTTATTTTTTTCTTTTTTAGCTTTTTACTCTGTAGAAACCACTGATGTGGTCCCCACCTCTTTCTATTGTACTCGTATACAACTATTAGTTATTAGTCTTTTATTAGGATTTTATTTTTGCCATGTAAGCAGTCTTATCCTTCTTCAGAATTAATATAAATAGAAAGAGGGAGGTGGCAGATTAAGCATCCTCTTCTTTTCTGAAACCCTTCCTTCGAATTCTTCTTCTCTTCTTCTCTTCTTCTCTCTTTCTCCTCTCATCTTCTTAATTTCTTGTTGATTATACACCACAGCTTGGGCTGTTAGTAGTCTCATACGACTACATGGTATCAGAGCGAAGGAAGACAAGGACCTAATATGTGAACATTGCAAGAAACCTAAGCATACCAAAGAAACCTGTTGGAAGCTACATCCTCATCTAGTTCCAGCAAAACTCAGGAACAAAAAAGGGAATGCTAATACAGCTGTTACTACTGATTGTGCAACCTCATCAGGCAAAAGAGCATCACCACTAGACACTCTAACTGCAGTCCGAGCTGCCTTGACTCAGTTGAAAAAGGAGGTTGTTAATTCAGCATCATCATCTCAGCCAGTCACAACATCAGCTCCTCCCACCTCAACATTTGCTCATTTAGATACACAGGTCTCATCTTATCATGCTTCAGCTCTAGGTAACACTGAACATTGTTGGGTAATAGACTTAGGTGCATTTGATCATATGACTGGTTTGCCTTCATTGTTTACTACCTATCACTTATCCTTTGGTAAAGACAAGGTGTTTATTGCTGATGGATCACTTGTTCCCATTTCTATCTTCTGTTCTGCATGTTCTTAAACTTAGCACCAATTTACTTTCAGTTAGCAGCATTACTAAAAACCAGAATTGCTCTGTAACCTTTTTCCTGATCGATGTGTTTTTCAAGACTTGGAGACAAGGAAGGTGATTGAGACTGGCCGTGAGACAAATGGAATCTATCTGCTTGGAGGAGGTTCACAGTGGTAAGGTAGTGAAGTTAGAGGGTCTTTTGTTTCTCAGTCTATTGGTCAAGTCATGCTTTGGCATAACCAATTGGGTCGTTTATCCTTTAGATCTTTGAAAAGCTTGTTTCCTAGTTTATTTGAATCTATCTAGATGTCCAGTTTAAAGTGTGAAAGTTGTGAGCTCGCAAAGCATTGTAGAACAACCTATTCATTAAGTAATAAGAGAAGTAGTGTTCCTTTTGACATTGTGCATACCGATGTTTGGGGACCATATCACATCACTGCTATGGGGGGGTACATATACTTCTTACTGTTTGTTGATGACTACACCCGATTTTCTTGGGTCTACTTGATGCATTCTCGTGATGAGGTTCCTACCCTGACCCAGACCTTTCATTAGATGATTTTAACCTAGTTTGGGGTAAAAGTAAAAATTTTCAGATCTGATAATGCGAGAGAATACTTTAAAACATCACTAGCCACTTATTTTCTTGACCATGGGATTATCCATCAGAGTACCTGCCCTCATACCCCTTAGCAGAATGGGGTCGCTGAGAGAAAGAATAGGCACATATTGGAAGTAGCTAGAAGTATCATATTTAACTCCAATGTGCCTATACATTTCCGGGGAGGTGCCATTCTCACAGCTGTGTATCTCATCAACCGAATCCCTTCACAGGTTCTTGACATGAAACCTCCACTCACTCTTTTATATCCTGATAAAGAGCTATTTTGTCCCTCTTAAAACCTTTGGTTGTACCTGCTTTGTGCAAACTCTTGGCCCTCACCGTTCCAAATTTGACCCTATAGCCTCAAAATGTATTTTCCTTGGTTATGCACAAACTCAAAAGGGATACTGCTGCTATGAACCTACTTTGGGAAAGAGATTTGTATCCATGGATGTTACTTTCTTTGAGGATGTGCCTTATTACTCTAGGATTTCTTCTTAGGGGGAGAGTAGTAAGGTTGGGGTTAACACATCAAAAGTTCCTTTACCTGTTCAATTGAGTAAAGAGGGGTGTAATGGGGAGGGTTGTCAAAACTGTTGGGATTTGAGAGTTTATCACAGACGGTGGAGGCAAGTTGATTTCGGTCATCAGCAGTCCAAGCCAGCCCCAATTCCTTCTGAGGATCTAGATCCAGTTACTACATCTCTTCCATCTCCCATTACAAATGAGCCTTCTCCATCTTCTGACCCCTCACTTCCATTGAATGACCTTGACCTTCCTATTGCAGTCCGTAAAGGCAAACGCCGTTGCACCTCATCCACAGCCCACTGTATCTCACAATTCTTGTCCTATGATCATCTGTCTCCCTCTTACAACTCCTTTCTTACATCCATTGCTGATATTCCCATTCCCATAACAGTACATGAAGCCCTGACCATTCCTGAGTGGAAGGATGCAGTGAAGGTAGAAATGGATACCCTTCTGAGAAACAATACCTGGGAGCTAGTTGATCAACCTAAAGGGAAGAAACCAAATGGATGTAGATGGGTGTTTATTGTGAAACATAATGCTGATGGTTCCATCGAAAGGTATAAGGCCCGGTTAGTTGCAAAGGGATTTACTCAGACTTATGGTATAGATTACTTGGAGACTTTCGCACCAGTAGAAAAAATGACCACCATCAGAGTGTTATTATCTCTTGCAGCCAGTTACTCTTGGCCCTTGTTCCAAATGGATGTTAAAAATGCCTTCCTCAATGGAGAATTGTAAGAAGAAGTGTACATGCAGTTACCTCCTGGCTTTTATAGTACAGAGACAGGTAAGAAGGTTTGCCGGCTGAATAAAGCTTTGTATGGACTAAAACAGTTCCCTAGAGCTTGGTTTGATAGATTCAGACAAGCCCTTGAAAAGTTTTGCTATGTGCAGGCTCAACAAGATCACACTTTGTTCATTAAGAAAGTGGATACTTCCTTGACTCTACTTGCTATATATGTGGATGACATTGTAGTAATAGGGAGTGATAACAATGAAATTGAGTCTCTTAAGAAACTTCTCCATCAAGAACTTGAGGTAAAAGACATGGGAGAGTAGAGTCAAGGAAGTATGTCCTTTGTTTCTCAAAGGAAGTATGTCCTTGATTTGTTAGAAGAAACAGGAAAGTTGGGTGTTAAGCCAGCCAATACACCTATTGAACATAATCACAAGATTAATGCAGAAGGTGGAGAGCCTCTTGAAGATAAAGCTATGTTCGAAAGATTAGTTGGGAAACTACTCTATCTTTGTCTTACATGACCAGACATCAGCTATGCAGTCAGTGTTTTTAGTCAGTATATGCACTCTCCTAGAACTACCCACCTACTTGCTGTTGAGAGGATATTGGCATATTTAAAGAGGTGTCCAGGCAGAGGTGTACTATTTAAGGATAATAATCACATGAAGATAGAATTTTACACAGATGCAGATTGGGCCGGTTGTGTTGATGATAAAAGGTCTACCTTTGGATATTGTGCCTTTGTAGGAGGTAACCTTGTTTCTTGGAGTAAGAAACAAAATGTTGTTTCTCGTTCCAGTGCTGAAGCTGAATATCGGTCCATGGCAAATGGTGTGGCTGAAATACTATGGTTGAAATCACTGTTTGATGAATTGGGTATTACCTATGAGAAACCTCTAATGTTGTACTGTGATAATCAGGCTGCTATTAATATAGCTCATAAGCCGGTACAACATGACAGAACCAAGCACATTGAACTGGATCGACATTTTATTGGGGAAAGGGTTGCATCTCAAGAAGTCTGTCTTCCATATATCAGCTCCAACATGCAGCTTGCCGATCTTCTCACCAAGGCAATTTCAAAGAAGAAGTTAGAAGCAGATCTATGCAAGTTGGGAATGACAAACATCTATTCCCAACTTGAGGGGGAGCGTAGAAACCACTGATGTGGTCCCCACCTCTTTCTATTGTACTCATATACAACTATTAGTTGTTTAAGTCAGTCCACAATTAGTTATTAGTCTTTTATTAGGATTTTATTTTTGCCATGTAAGCAGTCTTAACTTTACTTCAGAATTAATATAAATAGAAAGAGGGGGGCGGCAGATTAAGCATCCTCTTCTTTTCTGAAACCCTTCCTTCGAATTCTTCTTCTCTTCTTCTCTCTTTCTCCTCTCATCTTCTTAATTTCCTATTGATTATACACCACAACTTGGGCTGTTAGTAGTCTCATACGACTACATACTCCAAAAGGATCTGTTGGTGATTTAACCTATTATGGGCCTTTTTTCCACATTATGAGAGATATTGCATTTTTACAGAAATTTAAAAAGCCAACAAAAGGAGATCATAAGTACAAAATTAAAGGTTTTACTCTTTGGAATCAGGATGGACCATGGTATTTAGGACATGCAATTAGGGAGGCATGATTGTTGGTTTCCGAGTGAACATCTCATTCATATGGATTTAATAATCCACCATTCCACCAACTATTTGCTGATTGGTATTGCTAAGGAGGGAGTCACAAGACCCACAATGAACTGGGGAGCATCCATGCCAGAATAGTCTTGTTTTGGATATTGACTACTTTCTTCTATTGGGCTGTCATCTTTGTTATCCTTTCAAATTGTATCACCTGCTCTTGGTCATATCATTTTATTTCTATTTTTCTAATTTTCTTTCTTGAAGTGTTTATAAGTTTCCTCATATTATGCTTTTGTAA